GTGACGGAGGCGGCTGGATTGGATTCGGCGGTGGGTTTGGTGGTGTGGGCTTCGTGTGTGAATGTGTAATATCTGTTTTACCCTAGTTGGTGGTCAACTCGCCATGAATGCTACGAAAAATGAATGCCCAAGCATACACAAGTCATGTCTTACACAAACCATGCATCTTCCAAGTTCCAATTCATACAACAATGCTTAATGTAATATATTTTAAATCCATGTCAGCACAAAAAGAATAATGTAATATATATGAATCTTATTCTTGTGAGTGTTAAACGTGAGTTCTTCAATGGGTTTTGGTGGATGAGGACGTCCTTCTACTCAATTTGAACATTACCATCCTTGCAATCTTGTAGAACCAAAATGTACTCACCATCTGTAGCCCCAAAGCCATTGCCTGCCAATTAAATTTAACAATTTATAAATTGAAACATTTTGTGCATAGTGATAAAACAAATTTACATAATCACGAAAAAAAAAAAAAAAAAAAACAATTTATGTAACTTTTATTTTATTTTTATAATTTCTTTTTGGCACGGAATTGAAATAAAATAAAAGTTGTTATACTAAATTGCAATCCCAAGAAGTTGGTGAACAAAATAGAAAACGGCCACAGAAAACGATCACAATCAAGGTGCTGGAATCTCAAGGTGTTGGGCAAGGTCAAACACTTCATTTGGAAGTGTTTTTCTAACATTATGCCTGTTAGTTTCAATCTGAAATCCAGAGGACTTGACATTGATACCCTGTGCAAAGTGTGTGGGAAAGCTGTATAGAAACCCAAATCATGTGATGTTCCAATGCTCTAGAGCAGTTACGGTGTGGCAGATTGCACCTGTGCAATGAAACAAAATTCACCAAGAGCAACTTACCTTCAAGCAGTGGTGGTGGTGGATCAGCACCATGAATTTCAAAGATACATCAAAAGAAAGAATTAAATTAACTATATATCCACTGATATACTTTGGTGGCTCTGGAATGCAAGGAGAATTTGAGTTTTTGAAGGGCAAAGTCAGTCAGAGGTGTGGATCATTAAGGCAACAATGAGGGATTGACTTGAGTTTGCAAACACCAACTCCAATGCATAAATTGGGAAGACTGAAGATGAGCTAGCCATTTTGGCAGTGGTTCTTTCTTTGGTTGTTTCCTTTAATATATTAGTGTGCTAATTCTGATGTATTTATGTTAGCTGTGTTAGACTTCGGTTTCATTTGGTTGTTGGGGTGTGTTGGTTTGTTGCTTCTTTGGACTTATTTGATGTATGTTGGCTCGGCCAGACTGCAGTTATTTGCATGGCCTCTCAGTTACCCAGGCAGGGGTCGTTGTCCCCATATACATTACCATATTTTATGGTTTTTATGAATAGAAAAGTTTATGTCGTTGAAAAAAAAAAATTATTATATTAAATTGAAATACCAAGAAGTTGGTGGACAAAATAGAAAACAACAAAAATTATTAGAGCAAAGTACTGCAGATTTTGCAAAAAGTTATTATGGTCACATATGAAAGAGTTTACTATTGAGAGATTATTTTATTTATTAACACTAATGTTACTGATAGCTTTTTAATAGTATTGGTCGACTCGTCATATTTTCTGAACAAAAATGCATATTATATATATATAATAAAATATTCAATGATGTTGGTTCTTAAAGTATAATATTTCAATACAAATTAACTATGTTAATTTGCCATAATATAATTTCCTCACCTTAAGGTAACATCAATTTTATCTATTTATCAAATGCCACGGCCTAACACAATAAAGTACTACCTCCTTTTTAAAATAAATAAATAAATGAATATGTTTAGATACATAGCAAAATGGATGAATTAAAAAAATCAAAACGACACTTATTTTGAAAAGGAGGGAGTATTAATTATTACTGGAATAATTGAACATCACACTACATTAATAATATTAATTAAGTGAATTATTAATATGAATTATTACCTTAATTAAAAGGGGGTTATGTGCAGAAAGAGTGACATAAGTGAGATATGGCCCACCAATCATCCTTGCAAATGTGAAAATGGCTGCAAAAGCAATCTGCACCACAAAGATCCCCCAAACCACATTAAATAATTTAGTTGGAGTTATCCTCATGAAAATAAAAGCTACTCTATTAAGAGAGTTTTTCCACAACAAAAGAAAACCAATTAAATTTATATTAATTGTCTTTATTATAAAAAAATAAAGATAAAAAACAATTATTAATTAAAATTTTAATTCTACAAAGAAATTAAAATAATAATAAAAAAAAAAAACTAACATCAGCTGCCAAATTGAGGTCAGTATCTTTATACCCAAGCTCTTTTAGAAGCTCCCTTAGATGTAAGAATGGGCTTGAAATCTCTGTAATCCACAAGGCTGCCACCATTTCTGATCCACACTACAATTTCATATACATATAATTTTTTTCTTTTTTCAGTACAAAAAGGAGGTCAGTGGCCTAGTAAGAATATAAATCTAAAATTCGTCAGGGATAAGACACCCCGATAAGATCATGGTCGAGCCATGCTCCCAATCCAAAAGGAGGAGACATCAAACGAGTGCAACCCAATCGTAGCCGAAGATAGACAAAATGAGGAAAATAAAAATTATATAATATTTAAAAAATAAATTTATACCCTTTGATAAGCAAGCCCAGCCAGAAGCCCAACAATGCTGACCAGATGATGAATTGCATTGTCAACCTTGACTTTGTTGTCAAATACACAGCACACCAAATCATATATCAAATATGCCACTGATACTCCAATTGTTTTCATCTGTTCATAATACATTATGTTCACAAAATCATATTCAATTTATTACAACTAAGTTTCGATAAATCTAACTAAGTTAATAAGTTTGGTCTTTTCCTAAATCAACCCCACTGAAAACGTAAAATTCAGATTAAATAAAGACTACCTGGTTAGGGGAAGACTGAGAAGCGAGAGGGCAAACCGGGCAGGCCCAGTCTTGTACCGAAAGGGACGCCAAGAGCACGGCCGAGCAAGCGTGAACCGTCGACACAATGCGGTTGCAAAAATCGAAAGAACGGCCCGAAAAAGCCTTCCTCGTCACCAAGAACAACGTTGTCCATGAGATTACTCCCAAAAAGATCACCTTAACTACATAATCCTCCATTTGACCCCCAAAGCTCTTTTTTTTTTTTTTTTTTTTTTATTATCTTTGGGGATGCAAGGCAAAAGTGTCGGACGAAAATGTTGTGTAAAGGAGAGAATAGTAAATATGGAGTCATTTAAGTTGTTTTCTTTTTCTTTTTTTTTTTTCAAATTTTTTTAGGTGGGGTTTGGTTGCTTGGCATAGGTAGGGTACAATGTTCATGCTTTTATTAGAAAGCTTTATATTTTTATTTATATCATATTTTAAAGCATGTTATTGTATTATTAGTAGAGGTGGCCAGGTGCCGGTTCCCGGGCCATGAGCCCTCCAACAAATGGCCCGCGACCGGCCCGCCTAAAAACCAAGGGCCGGTTCACAGTACCGGCCCGAACCGCCAGTTCACCCACCCGGCGGTTAACTGGTCGGTACGGCCCCTTTTAAAAAAACTTCAACAAGGTGACTTGCCGTCCGACCCGGCCCGAACCGATCCGTACCGACGGGTCCAAAAAAAATAAGGAACCGGGACCGAACCGCGGCCCTACGGGTCCCGGTTCAACGAACCGGCTCTTAAGAGGTCGGTTCGGGTCGGGCCGGTACCGGTTCGCGTGTCGGTTCGCGGTTTGGGCCACGGGCCGGTTCGGCCCGTGGCCATGTCTAATTATTAAAATAAAGTGAATGTTTATTAAGGAATTGGAAATGCTACAGTACCGTTACGAAACCATTTCGTCGAGATTTGTAACCGTTAGATCATCATATAACCATCGTGGATAGTTGATCTAACGGTTACACACCCTCGACAGAATAGTTCCGTAACGGAACCATTGAATCTCCCCTAATAATATACATAGGCCTTTTATTTGGACTTGTCCAATCGACCCGAAGTCATGATCCGTCCGAGTGGATCCTTCACATCGGTTAAGAAAGGACAAGATTAAATTCAGTCGATTCGGCTTTCATCTGGTCAACCAAGGGATTGATCTAGCCGAGTCAACTCGGTTGGATATGTCAATTATAAGTTTTCATTTTTATTTTAAAAATGGAAATTATGTATTGGTATTTTTATGTTGTAAATCTTTAAGTTTGCATATAAAGTACTTTAGTTATTTTATATATATACATATATATTTATAAAATAAAAGTAATATTATACTACTTCCTATTCTTTTTAAATGTCATTTTGGTTTTATCAACCATTAACCAAATAAATGTCGTTTTGGGTCTTTTATACATATTTTTCCATTATTACCCTCATTTAGCTAATAAATACATTACGCCTTTTCATGTTCACCCTTCATCTTTTATCAAAACATTCATCTTTATCTTCATTAAATAGGGTTATTATTGGAAACAAAAATATTTTTAATTATAGTGCAACTTCTCAAACCGACACTTATTAAGAAATAGGAAGAAATATAACTTTAAATACTTTAAAATTGAATATCGTTCGATTAAACCTGTGAGTCAGAGAAAAGCGGCTTTTAAAGCAGTGCTAATACCAATTACCATTTTCATTTGCATACATAATTTCATGCGTAAACGTACGTGAACGTCCAGAGCAAGTTGGGTATATGTCTAATTTATTCCCTTTTGTGGCCAAGATTAGGACTGTAAACGAGCCGAGCTCGAGCTTAAGGTGTTTGAGCTTGAGCTCGAGCTCTTAACGAGCCAAAAATCAAGTTCGAGCTCGGCTCGTTAAGGCCTCGAGCTCGAGTCTTAACGAGCCGATCTCGAGCTTTAACGAGCCAAACTATAAAAAATTACATAAATTTTACTTTTCGAGCCTTAACGAGTCGAGCCGAGCTCAGCTCGTTAACTAAACGAGCTTTGAATGAGCTCGAGCTCGGCTCGTTAAAGCTTCGAACTCGAGCCGAGCCGAGCCTTAACGAGCCGAGCTCGACCCGAGCCGAGCAGTGTTGTTAGTTGTTGAGCTACAATTAGTGGGGGTAATTAAGGCTCCACCTGGCCACTTAACGTAGTATTGGGGGATTTTATGTTTTTTTTTTTTTTTTTTTTTTCAGAACCATGAATATTATATAAAACACACATTTATATTTAGACAACAGTAAAAAAATAACTAAACTTCGCGGCTTAACTCACACATTAGTTTTTTTTTTCTCTATATTGCCTTAGATCCCTTTTTTTCGTTGGAGCTCTCCCTTCAAATTCGCCGTCTATTCGCCTTCCTCAGCGACAACATAGCATTGGCCAGCGGTCGTCTTTGACTGCTCGGCACCACCTCTGATGTTGTGCACCTCCAGTGTCGCTGCGTCAGTGTTTTGTCGCAGTTACCCTACGGTCTGCTTCGCCCTTCTGTTAGGTATCGTGGGCTCTAATTGACGGCTTCCCAAGCTGCGGTGGTATTGAGTGGGGCGTAGGTCAGCGGGTGGGGCGAGGCTCAGGCAGTTGCGGCATTTTGGCGTCGGGTTTGGTCGGAGTCGAGGTGTCGAGCCGCTCTCATCTCCATGGTTCTCTGGTGTTGGGGAAAAAGGGGGTCCAGTGCTGCAGCGCTCGACTAGTGGTGAAGACGAGCTCGGGCAGTGCTGGTGTGGGGAATCGGTTCGATGTTCTTACAGCTGAGGGCGGGTCGATTTTGGGTTTGGTTCGGGCTCGAGTTCGGCTTCCGTATAGGCGGTTCAACAATTTTGGTAGCGGTTCCTCGGGCTTTGGATCTCACTTTGGAGTTGACTGTTTCTCTGCTGGTTCGACTCGGTCGATCTGCTGTGGAAGAGCTTTTTTGGGTTTATAGTTTGTTTTGTTTTGTTTTGTTTTGTGTGGCTTTTGTTTTGTGGATTAGTTAGTAGTAGTGTTTTTTGTTTGGGTTGTTGACCCCTGTGAACTCGAGGGTGAGCGGTATTATCCTGTTAGGATCATTTTAGGAGGGTGTTATTCAATTGAGATTTTTAAGGACTTGTTAAAACTTTTTAAATTTGATAACTTTTGTGGACTATGTAGAACTTTCATGACTTTGGTGGACTTTTTGAGACTTTCAGAGAATTTTCATTAGTGACTTTTCAAGACTTTCATAATGGGCTTTTTAAAACTTAGTGAGACTTTTATATACTTACAGTTATTATATTATGTTTGAATAAAATATTAATAAACATAACATAATAAGTAATATAAACAAGAATAAATGAAAAAAAGATGTACATATTAATCCTCTAAAAATTTATGAATAAACTCATTTTTATGCGAAATGAGTTATTCACGAACAAATTGTTTAGGATTTTAGATTTATTAAACGAGTAAATCGATCAGCTCAACGAGTTGAATCGAGCAGGACCTTATATTTGTTTGTTAAAGGAGTACAAGCTCAAATACGTTTGGAAGTTAGTAGTTTTTTAGTTTTTCTATTTTGCGTTGTCGTGAGTGTGTTCTTCTAGGCGTTGCTAGGTTAGACTCTATGTGATCTTTGGATCTCCTCCCAGTCTTTTCAGCATTTAGATGTATCTTTCAACTTTTAGTTGTTTTCTCTTCGCACTTTGTGCGATTTTTAGTTATATAAAATCTCAGTCGTTTGGAAAAAAANAAAAAAAAAAAAAAAAAAAAAAACTAAACATCCACCCAACTGAATCAGTGGAAGGACAATCCAAAGGGTAGTGTATACTACCACAAAACACCCACAAAAATGCACAACTCCCACTAGTGGATAATAAAAGTACCAAAAAAGATATGTTGACGATATTTTTTGCCCGCCTTTCCCTTGATAGTTTTTTTTTTTTTTTGCCATGCGTGGGTGTCAGTCCCCGGTGATCCATTGACCATGTACCGGGGATTGGTACCAGACTTGCCATGAACTCCGCCTTATGCTCAGGGTGCAAGGTTCGAGTCTGGGGGAGGACAAAAAACCACAGAATGCCCCAAGATGGGTTTTCACCCCAGGGCAGGAGCACTGTAAAAGACCGTGAGTTCCCGGTACATGGTCAATAGCTCACCGGGGGTCGGCATGCACCGCGACAAGGCAAAAAACTTACCGGGGGAAAGGCTGATGTTGAGTATATTTTTGGGCATGTGGTAACCGAGCTACCCGACTCGGGTCGTTCTCAAAGGAAGGCTCTTCGGAGCTTCGTTCACTATCTAGTCGTCAAAATCACACAAGCAAAAAGGTCCTAAACATTCTACTCGCAAATTGGGGGTTTGAATTAAACACTACTCGCAATTGGAAATCGAAAGCAAGTGAAAACTTAAAAACAAAGATGAGAGCTTTAGGTCAACCGGGGTCTCTATCACTCGAACCAACACACAAAGAACCAAGGGACATCAACATTGCCAAGTGATCCTAGGTCATTAAATCGAGCTTTCTACTAAATGACTACACTTTTAAACAAAGTCGCAATCTTTAAACAAGATAAGCACAAACTAATCCCTAACACACATCGACGAGCTACAAGAATCGAACATTCCTCCTATCAGCAAGCAAAACCACATTCACCTTGAAACACATCATAAGCAAAAGAGGGCAAATTCGAAGTAATGAGGATTAAAGCTAATTACCCACTCTCCTAATGCATGCGTGAAGAACACCGAATGGAAAAGTTCGAAACTTGAAACAAAATGATGTCGCCGGAAACTTGCCGGAAAATATGAGTAATAGAGCTCCTAACCCAAGCATAAAAAGAAAAAAAGAGAAATAGAGAGAATTTTCCCAACTTGAAAGTTGGGAAATGAGAGTTGTTCTAAAAAATACAAAGCAAGATGTCTTTAAATAGCTACACCACAAACACACACTAAAAACACGCATATTTAATAGAACACTCCCGAGCTCGCGGGAGGATTCGCGGGCGCGCGGGCACAGGTGCATGGGCGCGGGGGCACTCTCGAGGTCGCCGGGGACTTCGCGGGCGCGTGGGCACAACAGGACACACTCCCGAGCTCGCGAAGCAGGTCGCGGGCGCGCGGGCGCGCTGGGGTGAGGGCTTGGAGCACTCCCGAGCTCGCGGGGCTCTCCGCGGGGACGCGGGCGTGAGGGCTGGACACTCTCGAGCTCGCGGATGGTTCCGCGGGCACGCGGGCGTGCATTG